CTTCGCCCCGCCCCCGGGGGCGCCGCGCCAGCCCTGGCCCTGGCCCTGGGGGCGCCGCGCGGAACCTGGGCAGCCCCTGCCCGGGATCACAGCACATGCCGGTGCTGACTTTGGGCGTGCGGCGCATGCTTGGCCCCGCCCCCAGTCACATGGCCTGTGAGCAGCCCTGCCCCCATACGCGCAGCGCGTGAGCGGCCCCGCCCCCAGGCACCCGGCAGCCCCAAAACGTTGGGGACCACTGCTATAGGAGGATCTCCCAATCTACCTCCATACCATTATTTGTTTAGAAGATAAGTCATTCAGGTTTTCAACATTTAAAACTCTATTGGGAAGATGAGCAGGAGTATTGTTAAGCTATAGACAATTGCAGAGCGCTTGAAATTGTTACTGTGCTAAATATAGCAGCAGTACCTTATGTCCTTCATTCTCCCCACTTTTGGTCTTCCAATTCTCCCCCAAAATCAACAGGGTTCTGACCACTGATGTTTACAGTGCTCCCTAAAATTTTATAATGGACTGGATGCAATTTTCAAAAGGTTTTGCTTTACTTGCACTCAAACACTCATGGAAATGCCATGAAATTAATGTAAGGCTGCCACAAATTTCACCATTGAAAGTTTTAGGAAAATGCTGTGTCCTTCCAAGCATCTTTGAAATGCGATCACTTAAAATGAATAAAGATAATACAAAGAAAATACATAAGTCTCTCTCTCACACACACACAGAACATTTGGACTCAACTTACATTTATACGAATTTCTTGTTCACTGCTGAATTGTCCACCACAAAGTGAGAGCAAGGCTTCTATCTCCTACAATGAAAATATTGTAAGACAAAATTTTTTAGAAAACAGAAGTATTGTTCCCCTACCATAATTTCAGATTAGGGCTGTCAAATAATGCATGTTAATGCCTGAGATTAACACAGAGCACAATTAATGTATTAATTTTGTTAATCGGAAGCGTTTCCGTGACGCTGCCCCTTTGAAATGCTGCTGCTGATCCCGGACTCCAACTGACCCTGGGCTCCCACACTGCTGTCCTTTTGAAACAGAGATGCATGGGTCAGCTGGGGACTCCAGCTGATCCAGGGCTCTGTGCAGCACTGTCCCTTTGAAACGCCAACTGCTGCGTTTCAAAGGGTCAGGTGCATTGAGTCTGGGATCAGCTGAGGACTCCAGCTGATTCTGGGATTCCGCAGCACTGCCCCTTTGAAACGCCACTGCAGAGTTTCAAAGGAGCAGAGCACGTGATTAATCTCAATTATTGCAATTAAATTTTTTAATCACTTGACAGCCTTATTTCGGATACTATATTTACAATAACTTTATAGTAGAAACAAAATTCCAACAATGTTATGACAGTTCTTATGTCCAACATCAATTTATAGGAAGAGTCCATTATTACTAATCTTTATATAGCAGAAAAATCTGACACTGGGATAGCAAATGACTACTTACTCCATTTGCAAAAAGAGCTAATTTTTGTAAGATACTATAACTTCACAAGTATCCTCTGCTAGTAAGCCATTGATTAGTTTTCCAATACACAAGGGGATTAGGTTAAAATTAGCCTAATAGATTTATTAAGATCTAGTGCTCTTCATTTTGACACTTACCACTTTCCAAACTTTCTAATATTTAACAAGGTTGTACACTCACTAGAATTAAAATTGAATTCTAGATAATGTGCCTAGCCAGAGAAAGATTCAAGTGTGCTATTAGGCTACGTCTAGACAGAGCTGCCAACAGAGGGATGTAAATGAAGCACTTTGAAAGTGCAAATGAAGCCGAGATTTAAATATCCCACGCTTCATTTGCATAATCATGTAATGATGCTCTTTCAAAAAAGTGCTATTTCGAAATTGAAACCGGAGTCTAGATGCGGTTCTTTTGAAAACAGGGCGCTTTTTCAAAAGATCTGGTAAACCCCAAGCTCTGTGACCCTTCACCCCAAGCCCGAACAGCTACAAAATTATTTTTCATCCCCAGAGTCTGAGCCCCACAGGCTTGAATCAGCTGATGCAAGGCAGCAACAGATTTTTTAATCCTGTGTAGCTACACCCTATGACACAGATGGATTTGCTCTGTTTTTGCTATTTTGCCTACTTAGTGTACTTAAAATAATACTACAAATACATAAAAACAATAATACAGGTTGGACCTCCTTGATCCGGCACCCTCAGGACCTGAGCCGTCCCAGACCAGGGAATTTGTTGGACCAGGGATGGTCAAGGCTCCGCTGCTGGCTGCCCTGCTGATGGCTCCTTTTCCCTGAGGCTCCCAAGACTGGGGCTCCCCACCCTGTTGCTGTCCTGCTAAAATTGGCCCGGCCGAGGCTCCCCTCCCTGCCAACTGTGCCAGGAGCTGGCTGAGGTTCCCCAGCCAGGGCCGCCTAGCCACTCTAGCCCCTCTACCTCCAGCGGTTCCTCGGGGTCTTCAAACCCCAAGCCACCCAGCCGCCACCAGTCCCGCAGCTGCAGCCCAGACCCGTTGCCACCGAGAGTTTCCTGGGTTCCCAGGGTCCCGCTGGTCCTGTTGCCAGAGGCTCTCCAGCCGCTTGACCCCCCTGACATCGAGGGTTCCCCAGTCAGGGCAGAGGCTCCTCAATTAAGGTTCCCCTGCTGGGGCCAGGACCCTCTGGCTGCTGCTTGGCCCACTGCTGGGGTTCCCTAGCCAGAGCTCCCGAGCTCCTGCCTGGCCCCACTGTCTCCGGGGGTTTCCCAGTCAGGGCTCCCTGGCCATCCCAGCCCTGCTGCTGCCAAGGGGTTCCCTGGCAGTCACCGGCCTCACTGCCAGGGGCTCTCCAGACTCCTGACCCCACTGACACTGGGGTTACCCAGTGTGGGTGAAGCTCCCAGATGCCACCTGATCCTGCTGATGCCAGGATTTCCCTGCCTAGCCTCTGCTGGCCCAGCCGGGACTTTGCAAACCCCAGGCTCTTTCAGCTGGCTCCCAATCCTGGGCTAGTTGGTCCAGCAACATCCGTGCTGGACCACAAATGTTGCTGGACCAGAGAGTCCCAGATTTGGGAGCTTTAACCTGTACAAATACATAATTCAACCCACCATTAGTACTGAGACCCTCTATCCTCTCTCATATAGACTCTCAGCCCAAAAGCTTTCACAAGGACACATGGCTTTATGTGGGGAAAAAAGGAGACAGATCCACAATACAGGAACTAAACCAAAATATTCAGAAACACAAACCTCAGACCTCACGTAGCCCTGCTATCATCATATAGAATCTTGCCACACTGTAGCAAAATAAGCCAAGAAATCACGGGGAGCCAGTTTTTTGGCAGGGGGTTGGTGGGAGCAGGGGGCAATCGGCTCTCTGGAAGCCAGTGCTTGCAGGGAGCCAGTTTTTAAGCCAATTCCTTGCAAGCGCGCGCGCGCGCACACACACACACACACACGTTTCTGTAGGAGGGAGCTCCATAGGAGCTGGCATGTGCTGAGTGGGGGGACTGTATGTAACCATGAGAGTTAACGGATGAGCCCAGGCTCACTGGTTAACCAAGTTCACAGGAACACATTACAGGCAGTCCCCGGGTTACGTACAAGATAGGGACTACGTGGCTGTCCTGCTGCCCTCGGGCTCCGTGGCTTTGCTCTGCTTTGCTCACCGTCTCCCTGGTCTGCAGACCAGGGCGACGGGGAGCAAAGCGGCGGAACACACGGGCAGCGAACAGCCCAGACGCGTCTGGGCTGTTCGCTGCCCGTGTGTTCCGCCGCTTTGCTCCCCGTCGCCCTGGTCTGCAGACCAGGGCGACGGGGAGCAAAGCGGCGGAACACACGGGCAGCGAACAGCCCAGACGCGTCTGGGCTGTTCGCTGCCCGTGTGTTCCGCCGCTTTGCTCCCCGTCGCCCTGGTCTGCAGACCAGGGCGACGGGGAGCAAAGCGGCGGAACACACGGGCAGCGAACAGCCCAGACGCGTCTGGGCTGTTCGCTGCCCGTGTGTTCCGCCGCTTTGCTCCCCGTCGCCCTGGTCTGCAGACCAGGGCGACGGGGAGCAAAGCGGCGGAACACACGGGCAGCGAACAGCCCAGACGCGTCTGGGCTGTTCGCTGCCCGTGTGTTCCGCCGCTTTGCTCCCCGTCGCCCTGGTCTGCAGACCAGGGCGACGGGGAGCAAAGCGGCGGAACACACGGGCAGCGAACAGCCCAGACGCGTCTGGGCTGTTCGCTGCCCGTGTGTTCCGCCGCTTTGCTCCCCGTCGCCCTGGTCTGCAGACCAGGGCGACGGGGAGCAAAGCGGCGGAACACACGGGCAGCGAACAGCCCAGACGCGTCTGGGCTGTTCGCTGCCCGTGTGTTCCGCCGCTTTGCTTCCTCTCCCTGGTCTGCTGGAGACCAGGGAGACGGCCCCGTTCGTAACTGTGGATCCGACATAAGTCGGATCCGCGTAACTCGGGGACTGCCTGTACATTCACATCCCTACTAAAGAAGACTCAATATAAACTAGAGTTTTATTATAGAGATTTGGAAACCTATACATTCTTGTACCTCAAGCTCCACTTCAGAGAATTTCAGATTACCCATAAAAATTTTACAGGAAACAGTGTTGCAGAAAGAAGCCACTCAATAGCTACAACCCACCAATGAAGCATCTGCAAAAACTGTTCA